AGCAACTAATGTGGAGTTTATAAGGCCTTAGGCACTCCCACCCTTTGAGCTAGCTTTTGGGGTGGTGTATCCCAAGGTTCTTATCAACAGAAATATTGCCATCTCGTCGGTATAACAATCCCTTTACCAGGAGTAGCTTTAAGGTACTGAAGAATTCTCTCTACTTCTTGCATGTGTTTTTCTTTTGGATTATGCATGAACTGACTCACAATACTAACAACATAAGCTAGGTCTGGTCTAGTATGAGCCGTAGGTCCGAGTGTAACCCTTGGCAACTAATCGAGCCTTATATCTCTCAAGAGTACCATCAGAATTGTACTTTAGGGCATAAACGCATTTGCACCCTACTGCTTTCTTTCCATTGGATTTATCAACAACCTCCCATGTTTTATTCTTCTCCAAGTCATTTGTCTCCTCTTGCATGGCTTGAACCCAATTCTTATCTTTTAATGCTTCATGCACTGATTTTGGGATGGAAATGGAATCCAGTGCTGACATATAGCTTTTGTGCTGCATAGAAAGGTTAGTAAAAGAAACAAATTGAGAGAAAGGGTATTGGGTGCAAGATCTTTTTCCTTTTCTTAAGGCAATGAGTAAGTCATCAGAGACACTGGGTAAATTATCAAAAGCAGGTAAGTCATCAGAGACAATAATATCATGTTCAGAAATAAGGGATTCAGGACTTACCAGTGATTCATACGATTGAGGTTACTGATGAAGCAGTATGGGTTGTTTCCTCCTTTGATAACCAATTTAGATGTTAAAATTTTCCATATCTCAGGTGTACTTGAAGGTTCTGACACATTAGGAGTAAACACAGGAGGGAGAGGTGTAGAAGTAGACAAGGACGACCCAAACTCAAAGAAGGAAGGATGAGTCTTCTGAAGAACTGCTCTCCACCTGAAGATGAGGACCTTGGGGAAAGGACTCAAATTCATGAAAGGTGACATCCATAGAAACAAGATTTTCGACTCGGAGGATGATAATACGTTAGCCTTTTTTATCAGGGGCATAACCAAGGAAGACACACTTAAGAGCCTTAGGATCCAACTTACTGCGTTGTTGTTTATGAATATGGACAAAGATAACACAACCAAACACTCGTGGTGGAAGACTCTTCAAAATGGGAATAGAAGGAAAGAAGGAAGTCATGGAATGAATAGGACGGTTATTATTAAGGACCTGTGAAGGTAAGCGGTTGATTAAAAAGGCTGCAACTAACACGGCTTCTCCCCAATAAGAACTAAGAACCGATTTTGGAACAGTAGCTCTCTAGCGACTTCAAGGAGGTGACGATTTTTTCTTTCAGCAACCCCGTTTTGTTGAGGGGTATTAACATATGTGAGCTAATGAATCATACCTCTGTCTGAAATGAATTGGGACAGACGTTGGTTGACGTACTCAATACCATTATCAGATCTTAATCTTTTAATATTCTTATCAAACTGAGTCTCGAGGATGTGATAAAATTGGATAAATATCTCTGGTACTTCAGACTTGTCTTTCATCAAGAATATCCATGTCACCCGAGTACAATCGTCAATAAAAGAAACAAACCACTTTGCACCTGAAATATTGCATTTAAGAAGGGCCCCAAACATTATAATGAATCAGGGAAAAGCGTTCAATGCTTTTGATAGCACTAGAAGGAAATGACACTCGATGGTGTTTTGCAAATTCACAAACATTGTAATGAAAGGTCTTAACTGACTGATTTAGAAGCAAAGAAGGAAACATTGACTTCAATAGACTAAATGGTGGGTGCCCCAGACGCTTGTGATGGAGCCAAATCATAGACTCTGCCATAGAAGGATGACGTCTCATCAATAGCTGATTTTTGGTATCGTTTGTAGCATGTTCTGGAAGGAGATAATACAACTCACTTTGCTCCTCAGCAACTCCAATTGTCGTCCTTGTGGTAAGATCCTGAATAACATAATGAGAAGGAAAAAAGGTGATAAAACAATTCAAATCAGTTGTAAGCTTTTGAGTGGAGATAAGATTAGTGGAAAACTGAGGAACATAAAAAATATTCTTAAGAAACAAGGAAGGTTGAATTTGAATGTTACCAGAACCAATAACTGATTTATGGGATCCATCGGCTACGGCTATAGTATGACTACCAATAGTAGGATGATAAGTAAGAAAAAACTCAGCAAGACAAGTCATAGGATCAGTTGTACCAGAATCCAAAATCCATGAGGTTTTAAAATTAGTGCAAGAAGCAAGAAGAGATGTAGAACATATGTTCTTACTAGATAAGATCAAAGAATTGTCAGACGGCGTACACAAAGTATCAATAGCGGCCTTAAGCTGCTCCAACTCCCTTTGCCGAATATTCACATATGGAGTAACATTATCACACTTTCCATGAAAGCGAAAACACATGTCTCTTGTGTGTCCAACACTCTTACAATAGGTGCACCAATGTCCTATGGACAAATAAAACAGATCAAAGAGAACAACCCAAAAGAAGTGAGTAGTTATCAATGAAGTAAAAAAAAAAAGTATCCAGAGAGCTTAAACAGCATAACAACTTCAAGTTTAAGTCCAGACAGAAGCAAAATTATTAGATATGCAAAAAGAGGAACCAAAAAAGGCAAAAAAATATGCAACTTGCGGCAAAAAACTCACAAATGCACAACCAGACGATGTTGTAGAAGCCTCTGAATGTTCCGAACAGCAACAACAAGATCAGATCTAATCAAAGGACGCGCGAGTGTCCAAAAAGATCCGATTTTTATGACGAGATTGAACACCCACTACTGGAAACGTCTGTAGATTGAAAGATTTGGAAAAACGGAGTCAAACAGTGGTCCTCTTGGTCCAAAAGATCCACGGAAAAATTTTCCGGTGGCGGCGAGAGGCTAACAAATAGAATTTCGCTCTAAAGGCGACAGTTACGGAAGCAGATCCCTCAGGATCAAGATCTCTGAAACCAACTTGAAAAGTAGGATTGTATTATGTGAAAATTGTTTATGTGAAAATTGGTAATTACAAAAAGCTCTTTATTTATAGAGACTGAATGATCTAATGGGCTAAGCCCAAAGAATATTCTAGAATGAAAAATAAATAAAAATAAATAATTATAATACAATTATTTACAACACAAAGAATTTACGACTTGGAGGATGGTAATATTTGTATCCTTTTTTTTTTTTTTTTTTTGTAAATATATTTGTATCCTTTTTTGTTGGGCGCATAACTAAGGAAAACACACTTAAGGGCTCTATGCTCTAATTTACTCCGATTTTGTTTATGGACATGGACGAAGGCAACACATACAAAGACACGAGACTAGAGATTCTGCATAATTGGAACAGAAGGGAAAAAAGAGGTCATGAGATCAACAGGACTTACATGGCCAAGAACTCTGGAAGGTAAGTGGTTGATCAAATAGGCTGTAGTTAATACAACTTTTCCCTAGTAAAAGTTAGGTACAAATGTCTGAAGCAACGATGCTCTGGTGACTTCAAGCAAATGGCGAATTTTTTTTTTTAGCAACCTCATTCTATTGAGGGGTATTCTCACGTGTGAGTTCATGAACCATTCCTTTGTCTTTAATAAATTGGGAAAGACGATGATTAACATATTCTGTACCATTATCTGATCTCAAGCGTTTGATACTTTTACCAAACTGGGTTTCAATCATATTATAAAATTGGATAAACAACTATGTTACTTCTGCCTTATTTTTCATCAAGAATATCCATGTTATTCGAGTATAATCATCAATAAAGGAGACAAACCCTTTAGCACCAGAAACATTAGGGACCTTGGAAGGTCCCCAAACATCAGAATGAATAATAGTAAAAGGTTCAACATTTTTTATTGCACTCAAAGGAAAGGATATGCGATGATGTTTTGCAAACTGACAAACATCACAATTAAAAGACTCAACAGATTGTGACACAAACAAAGATGGAAACATAGACTTAAGTAAACTAAAAGGAGGATGACCCAAGCGCTCATGATGAAGCCAAATGAGAGAATCTAAAGTAGATTGACTAGCCATCAATATCTAATCCCTGGTGCATTTTGCAGCAAATTCTTGAACCAGATAATACAACTCACCATGTTCCTTATCAACTCCAATCGTCTTCCCCGTGGTGAGATCCTGAAAAACACAATGAGTAGGGAAAAATGTTACAATGCAATTTAAATCTGTAAGCTTATAAGTAGAAAGGAGATTGGTAGAAAGTTGGAGAACATGAAGAGCATTCTTGAGACACAAGGATAGTTGAATTTTAATGTTACCAGAACAGGCAACTGATGTATGTTATCTATTTTCTTTGTGGAATTTCTTAGCACAGGTAGGCTGGGCCTGATGCATCATCCACCTTTTAAACCCAATGGAGCTCTCTTGTGAGAGGATGTGTTAAAGTATATAATATAAACCATTATAGAGGCCCTCATCTAATAGCTTAAGCTTTTAGGTGAATTGGTTCTTTACATATACTAAATAAGGGAATCCTAAAATAAGGAAACAAATCTTGAAATATAAAGAAATAGGGAAACTAATCCTAAGAAATCCTCTTGGATATTCTAACAAAATACTGGAGACATCCTTATTTGTTGCAACTTTAGTTATTACTTGCACTTTTCTTGAGCTGTCTTAGATACTTTAGCTCTTATTACTAATTTACTTATATCGAAAGACATGTTGAACATTTTCTTATGTCTGATTTATGTCAAAGATTATTTTTCTAATTCAAGTAGCTATTTGTACTTTTTTCTTCCTTGATTTTTGATTGAGATTCAACAATATTGGAGATTGAGCTGCTTTTAGTACTTCTTCACACCGTTTTTATTCAGTTACTTTTATATTAAGGCATAGCCCCAGTATTTTAATTGCATGGAGATTGCTTGAAATTGTGCTATTTTACGATAAGCCATTAAGTACTTGCAGATAGAATTGGCATGGACATAATAATGCATGAGTTGTCTGTTAACCTTTCTATATTGCTTAAGAGGAATCTTGAGTAACTTGACTATTTCAGGTTTTTCGTAACAAAGATGTGGAGACGGTGATTACTTTTATTTTCAATGCGGTCACTGAACAAAGAATAAGGTCAGACTTCCATCACATACGAAACTATAGATCTTTTAGGTAAATATTTGACATGGAGGACGGACAATTTTTTTAGTTATGTATTTTACTGACTTCAAATTTCTATCATTCTATGCAAGAGCATGTATAATTGTAAAGATAGTTCTCATGAAGGTTTCAAGAAATCTAGTAAATTATTCGCGATAGGCTGACATTTTATTGCACATTGCAATGTCTTGATTGTTTTGTTGTGCTGAATGCTGATGCATGTATATCTCCTTGCAGTTAGAGTTAGTTTTTCTGTATTCTAACTAAAAGAAACTTGAACTAGGAACGTCTTGTAATTAGATGTATAAATCTTCTCTGATATATGGCATTCAGCATTCTGTCTTCCCCCTCCCTATGATTATTTATTGAAGATTGGTGATTTACAGTCACTTGCCAGATGCTTTATATCCTAGCTCATTGTGAGGGAAGATAGGAGATTGTTATTATCTGCTTTCATTATGTTTAGAGAATATGATTTTTTTTACTCCATTCCACTAGAGAAAGCTTGAGGGATATAGTCTCCTCGGGGAGTAGCAATTTTAAATGTAAAACCTGAGGACTCGTCTTTTTTTAAAGAAATGTTTGATATTGAATGGGGCCTTGGCTCCCGCAAACTTGCATGTGGATCCATAACAGTTATCTAAATTAGAGATGTGATAAGTGTGGTGTATTTAGGTATTATTGTGTAGCTATAATAAGTAATGTAATTTAAGAAGTCTTGGAGACTAAATCACGTAAACAGTGTGAGCAAGGTAGGGGTAGGATGATTGGAGTTCTTCGTGAATTATAAGACTCAGCCTTTGTACTTTTATTGTGCTTAGTTCTTTGGTGGCATGGACTCAATGTAGCACGTACGCTTCAAAAAATCAGAAGTGTCGGTTTCCAACACTCTACACATTTCGACACGGTATCCGAGACGCGGTCAACATTCCTGACATGTTGATTATTTCAACATGCGAATTTGATCGTGTCCGACACGGTGATGAAGAATGCACAAAATAATAAGTACTCCAATTGCGTTTAGCACATGATGAAGAAGAAGTTGTGCAATGAGTCACAATGCTATCTTTTGAAGCATAGGTGCACAAGCACCCACCAAGCTTTGGGCTCCATAGAATATCGATTTTGGATGACATCATAATCTCTAAAACCCCCACTCATATTAGCAAAGTCCACATACTCCAAATTTATTTTATTTTAGTCCTCCAAGTTAGGAAAATATCTCTTTATACATTCTTGTCTTTCTTGATTAATCTCTTGATCCTTGTGTGGAGGAATTCGACTAGAATCTTCATTAAGTCATTGTTCACTATAGTATTTAAAAGAAAAAAAGAAAAACAATTAACAGATTATATCAAATAAGTATTGAATTCATTCATATTTAAAAGCTTACTTGGGATTGAAAGCATGTGCCAAACAATGAGGTAGAGTTGAATTTTTAGTCCAACGATCCATAAGAATGCCATGCATCACTTCATAAAAAGTTGAGGTCTTATTCATCCTCTTCAATTCATGAAAGTATATAACTTTCTTTACTTTCTCAATAATCTCATCTCACATATCATAAATCAAATGAAGATAAGGTTTATCAGTGTCACAAATCCTGATCATATTATAAATGGGAGTAGTGAAAGCAAGTATGTAATCAATTAAATCTCACCAAAGATCATTCAATATCTTATGTTTCACAAATCTCGCCCTCCCCAGATTATCATATTTATACATACTCCATTTTCACTGATTACCATATTTTGGAGACTAGTTTTTATTAATTTGAATATCTTTAGTATCTCAATTATGGAAGTAAAACGGGTTTTAGCTATAGAAAGTAACTTCAATCCCACAAGCTCATTAAACATTGAAAGTCTTTAGAATGATTCACTATGAAGTTTTTTATTGAAGTAACATCTCCAACTATTTCAGAAATCCAACCACATTCCTTATATGCTATTTGATTATTCTCCACATTTTTAGGAGCACATATGTTTTTCACAACTAAATTTAGTGTGTGAACAACATATGGTGTCCAAGTAATAGACAAAAATTCTTGCTCAATAAGTTGTCCTATTCCCTTGCAATTTGCAGCATTATCTGCGATTACTTGAACCACTTTTTCATACCCAACTTCTTGAATTACTTTTGTTAATAACCTGAAAATAAAATGCCTATCCTTATTTCTCTCTTGAACAATCAACTAATTTAAAAAACATAGCTTCACCATTAGATGCTGAAATTAATAAGTGGCCTCATTTGTGAGTCACTTCATCCACCACTCACAATGCTAACACCCTTCTCATTCCACCAAGCTCGAATAGGTGCACACAACAATCTCTTGGTGGCAAATAACCTCCGTTATTATGATTCGCGACATAAGTGAAGGCAGCTTGAAAATATGGGTTCCTTGCTAAATTGAATATCAATACCGTTAAATAAAACATCCTAACAATTAAGTGATTTAATTCTTCTCTCACCTCAACATTGAATGCCCTCTCAAGAGGATTCCTAGTTGAACTACCACCCTCATTTCCACTTCTTTTTTTCAGTTTGAATATTTGGAAAAACTAGAAGGGGGTAAAAGTACATTTTTTTGTGCATTATTTTTTAATCTCTCACTAGCTTCTGGTTCTATATTCTCCATCTCTAGCAAGTCTTTTGTCTGAACATGTAAACATTTTCCAATCCTTTACTGGATAATTTTAACAAATGAGCCCTTATTGTAGTATACGAACTTTTAAAATCCTTCCCACAAAAATTGCATTTCCAAGATATATTTCGTCCTGCTTCCGTTCCAGTGCCTACTTTGGTAACATAATTCCACTACTTGCAATACTCGAATCCATTATATAAAAATAAAATAAAACACTAGATCAATAAAATAAAACACTAAATCAATAAAAATTTCTTGTATATAAAGTTTAAACTAATAAAATAATAATAAAAATATTAAACCTACCATTACAAAATGGAAAAAGTGTTTGTTCTTTTAAATGACACAACTTATGTCATTTCACTCTCACAAAGAGGTGAGACTCACATCTTTATTTTTTTTGTTCATTCTCTCTCCCTTTATCTGTCTTTTTCTCTCACTTAAAATGACATAACTTTACATCTTTTAAAATGACACACTTTTCCCTTACAAAATCCCTCCATTACTGAGCCAATAACAAAAACAAAGCCAAGAATCAAAAAATTAAATACTAACTCCACCATTGATGCTAGAATCCTCAAATTCAACATAAACCCCACATGGGATACCACCAAAACAACCTCTATCTACATTCTGAATAAGACTAATGCCCTTATCTTTTCTGGCTCATCATCGGAAAAAGGGATTTAATAAATTTAATTCTAAAAAAAAAATGTGTCGGAACGTTGACCGTGTGTCAGAAAAAGTTGACTGCGCGTCGAAAACGTGTCGGAACATTGATCGCATGTCTTAAAATATTGACCGTATATAAGACAAATGTCGGAATGTGTTGGAGCGTGTCCGACACACATTGTTTTAAAAAAATTGCGTGTCCATGCATCGCACGAGACAACTCCCTAATGCTGCTCTCATGTAAAATATTATATATACAGTTGTTCAATTGGAGATCTCAAGTATTATACTTCCACAATTTTGAGAGTTGGTTATTTGTTTGTCCATTTTGTTATTTTTTATTTTTGCAACTTTTTTATTTTTTGTGAAATTTTACTAATCAATTTTCTGCAACACAATTTTTTATCAAGTTGGTTAGTCATCAAAGGATTTAATATTAAGGCTATATTGGGTAACACAAGTATCTTGAGTAATAAAAGAATAACTAGTATTTATATTTTGTAATCATATAGGTAATATTCACAATGATGAATTTGGATTTACAAATTCATTCACTTATAGTTAAACGATTTTTCAACATTTTATTTATTGACAAAAGCCTTATTTAAGGTGAGAAATTTTAAGTTTGTTTTGGTTGTAACGTTTATTGACACTATGACTATGAACATTTATTTATTACTAAACCCCTTAAGACGTACTCACTAATATAATGTTTCCAAACTAATTCATAAGGTTACTGCCACCATGTAAATTTAGAAAGAACATGATGAAGTGACCCAATTTCTAAAATAACATATGAGAAGACAAATTGCAAAGTAATCATACTACACATATCTATAGGAGCAAGCTAGACATCTGTTCAAAATATTACATTCACTTGCAAGGTGCCCAATCTCACAAAAGCATAACTATGACTATACAAAAAAATAGGTGAATGCTAAGGTTGAGGAAGATGGTCCTTTTCAGTCCTACATTCTTAAGATGGCCATTGGGCAGCCAAGACTATGTTAAAAAAATAAATTGAAGTATTTTCTGGCATAAGTACATTGCCTCTATCCAGAGAGAAATAAAATGTGATATTTGATATTTTTTCCCTTCTACTTTGTTTTACTTCCTCCAATTTACCCATTGGTGTAGTGGCTAATGATTCCACAGCCTGAAAAAAGGGATCAAAATTGTTTTGATAAATTACTATATATATTAATCAATTGCAGCTTTATTTTTTCGACCAGTTATTGGCTTAGGCAAGCTATCAAAGATTGGTTTTGCAATGGCTGCAGTTGAAAAGGCCTGTAAGTCTGGTTTCAAACTCCACATTGAGGTTGGCCAAATGGATGAGGAGCCATTGTTATCCTGCTCTTGTAAACATGATGTACTTGATGATTTCCTCACACCAGATGAACCTTCAGCTATAAAAGCATCCCCCATAATACCATTTAGGACAGGATTCAAACCACTTGATTCAGAATCAGTTGTCACTGCAGTTCGGGTTACTGCTTTCTGTCTCAGAGCTAAGCCTTTTCCTTTTTTTGATGGAAGAACACCATTGCTGCTATTATCCTCCCTCAAAACCAACTCTGGTATCTTGGTAAAGTCAGCTTCAGATTTCAGACGCCTCCTGGAATGTTTGTCATTCCATTTATTGGTGTCAACTTCCCTGGTTTCTGCAGCTGGTTCGATATCAAACTTTTCCATAATCTCTTCCATAATTACATTGACCAAACTCTTGGATTTCCGGTGATGAGTCAGTGGTCGACCAGACATAGGTGAGTTCGTGGAGAATGAATCATTTTCTGAGGAACCAGAGGTCGCTTTAAGTCCATAGTAACCCTGTAATGAGTTCATGGCTGGAGAGACCTTCCACTCTGAAGACTTCATTCTCAGGGACTGGAATGATCCAAGCAGTTCACGGTTTGCATGATCAGGTGGACTGTAATCAGAGTTGCCATATCTGAAGGGACAATATATAGGAAAGAAATCACTCAGAAGTAAAGATATTAAAAAGAAATTATGTATTGAAACAAACAGAAATAGGGAACATTGTAAATCTATTTTCTTGTAGTACAAATTCTTCTGAAATTTCCAAATAAGCCTGATTTATGTTCATAGGTTAACCAGTATCAATTTATATGGTAAGGAATTTAATACAAATGACAGATTACAACATAGTTATCACAAGGCCTAGAAGATACCAAATGCAGCATAATTACTTTAGAATGCAATTCTTAAACAGCAATATTGAACGAAGACAACATTAAAGCAGCATTCAAGAAACAGAGGAATATATCTGCGACAATTAGAGCCCAGTACTAGATTAATGTCCATGAAAGTAGTGTGCACCATTTCACCTTCCTAAGAGTCATTACCACCACCACCACCTCATTTTACATAGCTTCATCACATTTTAGAGCTTGTTGGGATCCTTCTTTTTTTAAGCTAGAAGCTTTTTTTAAGCTAAAGCTGAAATAAAAAAGAGAGCTTAAAAACAAAGTTAAAAGCTGTTTGGTGATTACATAAAAAATTTAGCTTAAAAATTACTTAAAAACACACATTTCAAGAAAACTCTCTCTCTCTCTCTCTCTATCTCTATGACTCTTCATTTCAAAAAAAGCACACAATTCAAAAAAAGCTGCTAACCTGTTTTGATCCTATCTTTTTTTAAGTTAGAAGCTACTTATAAGCTAAAGTTAAAAAAAAGAGCTTTAAAAAAAAGCTAAAAGCTATTTAGTAATAACATAAAAAATTTAGATTAAAAGTTACTTAAAAACACAATTTCAAGAAAACTATTTCTCTCTCTATCTTTATAGCTCTTCATTTTAAAATAAAGCACACAATTCAAGAAAAGAAGATAAGCTTAAAAAAAAAAGGTCCTCCTAGGAGCTTTTAGCTTTTAGCTTTTTTCTTCATTATAAAAAAAAGAATTTTTCATTATAAGAGATTTTCGTAAAACCTGTTTGACCTAACTTATACTTATAAGTAGCTTCCAGCTTCAAAAAAGAGGACCCAAACAAGCACTAAGAGCTTAAAAAAAAGCTCCTCCTAGAAGCTTTTGACTTTTAACTTTTTCTTCATTATAAAAAAAAAAAGTTTTTTTTTTTTTTTTCATTATAAGAGTTTTTCTCGAAATCTGTTTGGCCTATCTTTTAAATTATAAGGAGAAGAGAAACTAAAAATAAGAGGATCCAAACAGACACTTTATACAATCTTTAAAATGAGCTTTTTCTGAACCTAAATCTGATATTAAGGCTGTTGGACAAATGACAACCTGACACTTCCCAACTGTATCACTACAAATTAAACTCTGCAGAAATATAGACCAGATTGGTGAATTCACAGTTAACAAAATGACAATATCTTTAAAATGAGCAATACAGATTACAGAAGTCAACCAATGTAATAATCGAGAAGCAGAGTATGGAAATGATGGATATGAGTATTTTTCAAGAATAGCATCATACTTAAAGGAAGAAAATAACATGAAGTAATAGAAGAATTTGGTCATATGATAATAGAACATAATAAGGGAAAAACTGTAATTTGTAGAAATTATGGTTACAAGAAATTTAAAAGTAAAAGAATTTGACCTAATGCTGTAAGAAAAATAAGGATTTAATTTTGATCCATTAACAGTGTTAAAATTATTACACTATTAGTGAACAACATGTAGTCAACTACATTAAAAATGTTACAATGCCTTCACTACAAGCGACAAACTTAAATTTCTACAATGATGTGGCCCTGTCTTGTTTAATAATAGTGTAAAAAGTTTTACACTGACAGTAAATACAATCTAAAAACCTACTACTTTATTGTATTTATTTATTTTCAAACATTACAGCATAGAATTTCATTCTAGATACATTCTCACCTTCAACTTCGTATTCTTGTTTGTCTGTACAAGCATGTCCAATATATGCAATTAACCAAGCACAATAAAGAACTTAGCTAGCTATTTTAACATAAATCACTCAAAGTATCAAACTCCCAAAGAAAGTTACAATTTAAGGTAAGCAAACCAAACCCCCCGCCCCTCTTTTTCTTTTTCTTTTTCTCCCCCTTCCAGTCTCCCTCCCTTTGTTTCATGCAAGATATTTTTTCAAATATTTCAATAAGTAAAACTAAAAAGGATAACACCTAGCTTCTTGTATTTAGTGTTTTTCCTTAATGCAATAGACATAAACATACCCTGTAGTACTGGAACCATTTGATAAACAAGGAGATGGAGGGTGCCTTCCCGGTAGTGGAATGTGGAGAGTTTTAAGCGCAAACATCTGATGGTCTGTAACAAGGCCATTCATCTTTTTGATGTCCGCAACCTACAATTTCCCAAAGAAAAAAGAGCTGAAGAAATTACACTTCATTATGTAACTCAAATTGAAAAGAGAAGGTAACTTAAGCAGTAATAAATTAATAATACAGCCGAATGTTTTCCTCCTTTCAAAAGTGGAGGAGGAGGAGAGCAATAACCAACAATTGATGTTAACATTAAGGGGTAAACACTTCATCAAACACCAAAAAACATTGGAAACAAAAAATATCATAACCATTTCAAAAAAAAAAAAAAAAAAAGACTTTTCACCCATATTAATATCTGTTCCTGTTACTCTCTTTTTTCCTGAATTTCCTACACAGATGGTGGTTACAACCAAAATATTTCAAAAGGTCATCATATCAGAAAGAGGCTGCACCCAAATGTGCCACAAGATTTGACTCAAACGTCACCGTATATCAGCATCAAATTCCCAAGAAGAAGGGTGCTAAAAAAAAACCATCCATAACACAAATTCTAACACTTTCTAAACAATCAAAATGCAGCTTGTACATAACAGAAAGAAACGTTAAAAAAAATAAAGATAAAAAGATAAAAAATTGATTTTGGAAAAAAAAAAAAATTGTACCTCAACACCATACTTGATTGCGATGCCAACCAAGGTGTCCAATTTGGAAATAGGGTGCTCGATGTAGCCAAGTCTAGAAGGAGATGAAGACAATGGAGGACTACGCTCTCTACTGGGTACCTCTCGATCATAATCACACATTAAATTATCGTAATACTCATTGTTTTGCTCTTTCCACCTTTCCATTTTCATCTCAATCTATCGAATCAACAACCCAAACCCTTTTCAGATTGTCGTGTTTTGCGTTAATTCAAATGGGTATTGGCCAGAAATCGAATCGGGTTTGGATTCAGAACGAGAAAATTGAGATTCGTAAATATCTATAAAAATAGAAGAATGAAAAGATCATGGAAAATACAGAGCAATTGGGTATTGCGAGAATGCAACTTGTGGACCTAATCGCGTTTTCGGGATTTTCTTGTTTTGCGTTCCTGATTTCCAATCTCCGTTTTGTTCCACTTTCTCGGGAAAACGAAGGAAAATGGAAAGCTCTTTCTTTTCTTTCACCTTTTATTTCCCCCAGTTAGAAAGAAAATAGGTCATGGCCTTCAGTAATATTCTCTGTCATTGAAAAATAATAAAAATAAATAATTTAGAAAAAAGTGAATAAAATTAGAATACTAAAATAAAAATAAAAATAAAAATCTATAGAAAATAATGCGTAGTTAAAATTATAATAAAATTATGAAATCCAAACAAATTGTTGGTCAAAAACTTTGATAGAACAAAAAACATTTGAAAAGTCAGATATTGTTATAAGTAATTTACAGTTTTTTTACGCAAAATTTCCATTACCCGATAACTAGTATTGTTAGAATTGGACCAAATCAAATGGTCTGGTTAGTTTATTTGTCGCGTACTTAAATGGTTATGGTTTAGTTTAACAGAAAAGCGGCAAGATATTCTTATATCAGTGTGTAAGAATTAGAAGTCTTACACTCAATCTTGATTATTGATCCACTTGTATACAATAACTTATATTACTAAAAAATTAGTGCCTTTGGATATAAGTGAGATCAATGGTCAAAATTGAGAGTGTAATTTACACTGGTATAAAATAATCCTGACCCAACAGAAAAATATTTATACAGTTACTGCAGATGAAAGTTATCTGCATTTACTCCCCAAAATAACGTCATTTTGAGATTGAAAGATTAAAAAATTATAATTATAAAGACTATAATAATCCTGAAATAAATTAAAATTATAAATACATCATGATTTTTATCCCAAAATGACGTTGTATTGGGTTTACTGCAGATACTTTTATCTGTAATAACTGCAGAAAAAGCGAACCCTTAGTTTAATAATTGAATTTACAATCTAATAACTTTAAATTAGTCAAAATAAATCAACGTTCAATTATATTTATCATGTTAAACAAGATAAACACACACAAAAATGAATGAGAACTATTTTTTTTTCTTTCCTCTTTAATGGATTTCACCCATTTTTTGTATGTTGTGTATAACACCTCGTATTTCGTAAACATATTATTATACATAAAAATGTGGTTTAAAGGGTAAGATTAGTGAAAATTTTGAAATTAGGGTCAAATTGCATAAGAAGGGTAAAATGATAATTTACCAAATACGTAACCCGAGATAAGAAAAATTGAGTAGTAGGTCTCAAATGGTAAAAATAATGCCGGAAATGAATTCAAAACGAAAAATTGAGTGGATAGGCAAATTTTGAAAAATTTGATGAATAGTGACTTTTCCGGTGTAAAATACTGCGGTATAATTATACCGATAAGTGTGAAATTATGATCAGTATTTCTAGGAAGTAAAAATATGACGTGAACAAGAAAAATACGTAGGTTATGAATTTGTGGATTAAAATAGATGATTTAAAAAAGCTAAGTAACGTATGGGATCCACTTAAGTGATTTAAGTGACAAATGGACAAAGTAAGAGACAAAATATGATTTTTCTCTCTCCTCTTCTCTTTTTCCTCCCGTGGGTTTCTCCATTTTTAAGGGTTAGAGAGCTTTTCAATTGCAACTTCTATTTAGAGCCATTTTTGAGAGAAACTTTCAACTACAAAGTTGTTCCCCTTGAGATTGTGAGTGACTTTCATGTAGAGTGCACCTTATGGAGATCATTGTGTGAGGAGAAAATCTCCATTTTCAGCCACAAAATTTGGAGTATTTTGGGGAATTTTGGTGCTTTCTTGTGTTGATTGGTTGGTTGGAACTCATCCCCTTGGACCATTGGAAGCTATTGGTGGTAAGTTTTCACATTCTCAAAGAGCTTTCTATGAGATCATAAAATTAGTGAGCGATTTGGTTATGTATGTTGAGTTATGGTAGTTGGGAGCATTAAATAATATGTCTCCTTTGGAATTAAATGCTTAGAATGATAAATGATGATGATTGGTGCAATAAAAATTATTGTTATTTGGAAAATTGTAACTTAGTGAAATTTGAGTTGAATTTCAATACTTTGTGAAATTGGTATGTTGTGTAATTGTGTAATTGAGTTGTGGAGTAATTGGATGAGTTAATTATAGGATTGTATGATGTGTGGAAGTGTGGGATTGGATTGAATACCCCTAGGTTGGTGGGCATGAACAATTCGACCTATTGTGGTCATGGATGATTTGATAATGTAAAAATGATATAGTTGATGTTGTAAGATGGTAAATGGTGTTTAAATGGATGATAGTATATTGTGATATAGTGGAATTGGAAGGAAGAATGTGGGATGTATGATGTATGTGATAATTCGACCTATAAGGGAAATTGGAGGAAAATGGTTTGAAAAATATTGTAAAATCAATGGTTGGTGCATAAACGGTTATGATGATGAGTTAGTTCAAGGATTAAAATGATTGAAGTAGTTGAGATAAATGGAAAAATAGCCTTAGGCTTAAGTGGTTATGTTGGTTAGTATTATTGTGAAGTTAATTAATTATATGCAATTGGTTGTTGATCATTGTTATTTGATCAATATAGGTTACCTCGCACGGACGCAATAGAAGTGGATTAAGCTTGGAGCTTACGTGGAAGAGCAATATTTATGGAGTTGAGGTAAACCATTGGAACTTGGGTTTGATTCCCTTGTGTGCTCCACCACACTAGTGGAAGGTTGTGGTTGGATTTTGTGCTTTATGACATTGTGTGAAAATGTATGTTCATGCATTGTTGTTTTGATTGTGTGAAATATTTGTGATCTTTGGCCAGTAGATGTGCGTGGTTTGGATTTCCGCTGGAGATATCCTTTGGGGATTCCGATTGGGTTTTGTTGTGGGGCCGACTTTGGAAGCGGCACCAGGATGATCCAAACGTGGGACTTTCGCTGGATAGGGCTCATGAGGAGTTCCAGTTGGGTTTTGCCATGGGGTCGTCTCATCCATAGGAGAGGTACCAGGAAGCATCTCGAGAGTTATATGATGGGGTCCTTGAACGGAATCCTTATGTGGATGTTCTTGAATTTATGCCCAGTTGTTTGGTGATTTTGTATGTTATGCATTTTACATGATGTTATTTATTGCACATTGAGTGAGCCATGGGGTGGAGTGATCCTCTAGTACCCTTGGTTTACTGAGATATATTTGTATATCTCACCCCGCATTTGGGGACATCATTTCAGGCTATAGTGAGCATGGAGGAGCTTCGGGCAAGAGGCCCGCTTAGTGGAGGAGTCGAGCATGATGTGCATTGGGAGAGCATGACATTTTGGAGGACTATATTTGATGCACATAGTATAGTGTTTAGTATTTTGGACTTAGGTTTTGAACATATTGCATGTTGATATTGCCATGCTTTTGGGTGTTCATAACTATATGCTAAGTCTTTGTAATTCATGTATACTTTATGCCTTTTGATTATATTGGTATTTTGTTGAGCATGAGACTTGTCCATGACCACATATGTTGTATTTTGAGGCATTGGAAGACTTGAGATGTAAAATTGGCCATTTGAGGTTTAAATGGCAATGGAATTGGGAATTATTGTAAATGATGCATTGATTAATGAATATGCATGATGGAAGGGCCTAGAGCCTACATTAGATCTTGTGTAAGTGGTAAAATGAGTAGTGAAGTGTTAGGAGTAGATTACATCACCCATTTTGTGTGTTAAATGTTGTCATCTGTCATTTTTACAGTAGGGTAATCGATTACCTTTCTTTGGTAATCGATTACCTAAAACAGGGGACGCAAAATTGAGCCATTGCGATCAAGGTAATCGATTACTTTTTCATAGATAATCGGTTACCTAGTTCAGTAATCGATTACCTATATCAAGGTAATCGATTACCAAAAACAGGGGAGCCCAAAATTGGCTAATGTCTTATTCTGGAGTCTTTGGTAATCGATTACCCAAAAATGGTAATCGATTATCACTGTGTAAATTTTGAAAATGTGTTTTTTTTTTAAATCTAAAATAAATGGTATTGCTTGGAGGGATGATAATCAGTATGTTTTATGCTTCCGCGAGTTTTGCATTTACAACTACGACATTGTTTTAATTAGTTACGGAAATGGTTAATTGTTTAACAATGAAGATTTAATAAAAGAAAAAAGTTTACTCGTAATTTAATTAACTTAATTACTGTGATTGTAACTACGCTTAATACCATATGCAATGATATTACCGGTACATAACGGATTGTTACATTGAGTGAGACAAATTATATCATATAATATGAAAATATATTTCCCTCAATTAAATTAGGTTAACAATTAACATGTCACTTTCCTTTTCTTTTCTTTTCTTTTTTATTTTACCAGCACAATCTTTATGATAAGGATCTTGCAGTATCTTTATCATTTATGTGATTTCCATCAAAATCCTATGCACGATCTTCAGTAACTGATAATTTTATGGGAAACATAGTTGTGTTATTGTTGTAAAGAACCAATTCAACCCAAAAGCTTAAGCTGTTGGGTGAGACTATATTAATAGTTTTATATATTTCAACACGCCCCCTCACTCGAGAGCCCACTGGCTTAAATGATGGACAATGCACAGGCTCACCTACCTGTGCGAAGAAAGAAATTCCATTTGAAAGAAAGTGGGGGGCGGTGATTTTTATATTAAAAACAACAAACAGTGGGAAAATATTTCTGCAGTTAATGCAGATAAGTTATCTGCATTTACTTCCAAAACGAGGTCGTTTTGGGATTAAAAGATTAGAAAATTATAATTATAAAGACTATAATAACCCTGAAATAAATTAAAATTACAAAAACATCATGATTTTCGTCCCAAAACGACGTCATATTGGGCTTACTGCAGATAACTTATCTGCAGTAACTGCAAAAAAAGTGAACCCATTTTCATTTTACATCAACGAAACAATATCAATTTAAAGAAAGATTGAAACTTTCATAATGTGAAGTGTGAACCCTATATTTCATAACAATACATTCTTGAACGAAATTTCTTCACTACAGAAAATGATTTCAAACTTTTTTTGTGTCAATAGATAACTAAAAACTTATTTTTCAAAAGCCCCAAAGAAATTCAAGGTTTGAATGTA